AGACAGGCCTCCATTTTAATCCAGTGGATGCAGAGATATTAATGCATGTGTAGCAGACGGTGCACGTTTATCTTTAAAAGAAGAGCCTGAGTCAGAGAGAGGAAAGTGTCAATAAGTTAACCATAAAGTTAATAAAAAAGTTTTATTCAGTGTTGTCCGTTTATTCATCATTTATCAGACTTACATTTCCTTAATGAAGATAAAGTGGTGGAATCTGACTGTGTATCAGGCTGTAGATACAGTACATTATATTAATAATATATAATAATATATTTGTTCAGATTTAATCTGATGGGGAAAAACACAGGAGGCAGAAGATTTAAAACATATAGTCTAGGCTATAGATCAAAGACATAAAGACATGACTGTAAACTCACAGTCTGACCCAGTAATAATATGTTCGGTGATTTGCACTTGAAAAGACACTTTAAAATACAGTAGATTTTAAAATGTTGCACATCTATTTGTGTCGTGACTCAACAGCATTCAGTGACTTTATTTCAGCTACAAATGTAGTAAATTTAAAGACACTGAAATGCTGCACCATTGCTTACTCAGAAATATTAACATACAGTATAATCCCCAATATTAGGCTATAAGAATTATGTTCCATCAGTGCGACCAATGACATCAGTGATAGAGATCATTAGTCATTGATACTACGTGTCTATACCGATTTTTAAAATTTAAATAATTAGACCTACACATTATGTGCAATAAACATTTCGGAGCTGCTCTAACAGACTGACAGTCTGATCCTTGTGCACAGTGTTATAAAAAATAATAAATATAAAAAAGGACAGAGGTTTGATTCTGAGCTGAGGGTGAATTCTCCCTGTGTAATATTTGAATGTTAAGACAAAAAAAGATGTCCAAAGAAATGATTGATAAGCATAAATTCAATAACTTAAGACAGTCCTGAGTAACAAACTAATATCCAGCAGGATTTAGACTGTGACAGATGGTAAATCTCCGCTAATTAATGCGCTTTGATACAAGCTTTGACAACTCAGGGTTTATTGAAGAAAACCTGTCAGCGAGCAGGTTAGGTTCACAGAGTCTGTTACCATGGTGACTGACTCAGAGTTTCAGTTACCTCTCTTTCTGGAACAGATAACTCAGAGTTTCCCTCATCTCAGGGTTAACTTACTCTGAGTTTTCACATAACCCGCTTTCTGGAATACCCCTCTGGTCAATAGTTGTTGCTTTGGGTGACATGGGCCTGTGCCTGGTAGGCCTGCTCAGTAATCCTTTCAAGCCTGTGACCCTGCGTCCTCAGATGAGGACTGTACATTCTTGGTTTGCTGCACAATACACTACAATCTGCTTAACACAGATCTGTCCTCTTTTGTGGACACTCTATGAGCCATCTAGTAGTAGCAAAAGCACAATACACTAGTCTGTGTAAAAACAAGATGGCTGCCATCTCGACCAAGTCACCCAATCCCAACACAAAAGTGGAAAAGGTACAAAACCGGATGAAATGTTATGACTGAAGTTGTTTATTTATGCCTTATATTGTTAGTCTTTGATATGGCAAACAAATTTGACAACTTTTAGCAACAGTAACAAGCTAAGAAGCTGTTAATCAGGAAGTACTTGTTGAAAGACATTGAGACTTTATTATTGTCTTGTTCCAGGACATTGCTATTGTATTAATGCAGCATTTCACACATGCCAGTTAGTTGTGACAGGCTGTTCCTAGAGACAGAAGGAGTATGGAGTAGAGTTTAGATCAGGCACAAAAAATCCAGAACGTCCCCACCTGAACCTGTGCATGTTCTGTCCGAGCCCGGCTCGGCCCGTCCCTTTAACTGCAATTATGAGCCTGAGCCCGGTTTAAACCCGACATTTTTTTAAGGATACCAACGTGGACATTGAGGGCTGACACTTGTCTTTCTTTCCATGGCAAGCCTTCGTCATGTGCCTCTTAAGTGTCGAGGTCCCTGTCTTTTAGCATTGTGCTGGCATTTGGTACACTCGACAAAGCCAACACACACGTTGTCACCGTCGACAACTCACATGTGCGCGGAGAGTGGCACCATCACTGGAAACTGCCCATTGGTCCGACAGCCCATTATTCCGATAACCCATTGGTCCGACTACATCCCATTGTTCTGACCATATTAAACTCATTGTTCCGAAGTCCCGTTGTTCCGAAATCATCATGATGCCCTGTGGTTAAGGTCTGGTTAGGTTTAGGCACAAAACCACTTGGTTAGGGTTAGGAAAAGATCACGGTGTGGGTTAAAATGAAAAAGAAAGTGGCAATCACATATCGGAACAACGGGATGTCGGACTAATAGGATGTTGGACCAATGGGCTGTCGGACCAATGACATGGACCCCCATCAATAGCCTAGCTCTATTATGAGGAGCCTGACCCATCCAAGCTCGGGGATAGTGGCAGGAAACTACGGCTTGACCCAGGTCGGGTTCGGGCTCGGGCAGAGAATCTAAGCTCTAGTATGGAGCAGGGAAAATTCATCCAGAGTTACAAAACAAACGGATGACAAAGCTTTGAGATATGTTGCATTATTTGCAATTTTGTTATGCACAACTGTGTTCTGGCAATTGACATTAACATTTTTGAACAGTTTTAGGCTTTAAGAGTGACCCCTAACCCACAGAGTTACAAAACATTTGCAGTTTTATTTTTACACAACAATGTTCAGGATCTGAAATAAACAGTTATAGATTTTATTACACGCTGGTGACTATTAAAACTAAACCTTTTGTTCCCATATGAGGACATAATTTTTTTTTTCAAAAACTACTTCCTGGTCAAAGACAATGCTTTGTTTTTTATCAGGTCCTACTGTACTGATCCCAAATGGTGAGGAGAAATGGGTAACAAACAAAAGCTCAGGTTTCAAGGAACTTGAAGGCATGCTTTTAAGTTTTTCCCTCACTCTCTCAGATGGATTACTGCTATTCACGACTTCTTGTAAGACTTCTTTGTATCCTATGTGATCTCGTCCAAGAAAAAATATCCAATAATCAATATACAATCATGTTAAAGATGCATCTTTGGTAGCTGATCTGCAGAGTAGTGTCTACTTCCATGTGAAATCAATCACATCTAGCTAGATCAGTTTACAACACCACAGACTTACATGTTTACTGGACACTTGATATGTTAAGGAATCGCATTTTTACCTTGAGTCTTGGGGTTGTGTGCACTTAGACTTTTAATTATTGATGTCTAAACAGGCTGTTTCTTTACAGGGTTGTTGTGAAGCTAAGGAAATCAAATATCTTTTATAGAAACCAAAAGCAATTTGGTGCAAAAAAGTACCACTCATGTGCTTCATAGACTCACAATAGACACATTAATTGGTCAGAAATGTTAAAAAAAAAAAAATCCTCTTAAGTTGTCTTTTGTGTCCTCTTGTGATGTCACTTTCTTTAAATCAAGTGAGGTTGTGTTATGTCATCCAAAGTCTATCAAACATAATCTGCCTTTAAAGGTTGCATCCAATCAGTAAAGCTACATTCCTAATTTCAGAGGCTTAAGTCTTGCTTTGTATTGAGATGGAGAATGTCAGATAGTTGAAGGGTGTTGAAACTACTGGGAGGAGACTTGGTCCAGTCCTGTCACTCACACGTGTCACCTTGTTTTCCTGAGGAAGTTGCCTTCACGTGATAAAACTCTCTCAGCGTGTGCTGAGTTCCCATCTGAGAGACGTGCTGTCCTCTCTCTGCAGTCATACTCAGCACCTTTCATAAGCTGATTGTCTGGCTGTAATGCAGCCCCGCAGAGGTGTCTCACTGTTTCCAGGTAGAGCTGTTGACCGTGTCCTGCAGTGGACTTGATCTTCAGACACTCATATAATCTATGTCTCATATCATTTAATGAACATATGCAGCAATAATCAGTTACAGGCAGGTTTGGAGGGTTGCTGCTGGCTTTAAGTGACTCTCAGTTACTCCCATGAAATGTCAGGATAAAATCATCTGAGATGCAGCCGTCTGTCTGTCCATCACTCAGGTGACTGATTTTCACATTCTGTCAGGTCAATATGTTTAAATACCGTTAACAGGTTTTATGCAACTGCAACAACAACAAAAAGCTTCTTTTTAAATCAAACAGAGGGTATTATTTCTTTACCAAAATCATATTCCTAGTTGCGTGAACAATTCTTTGAAACTCCATTTATACCATCATGGGGAGAAGTAAAATTTGTAGAAATGTAATCGAATTAAT